GCCTTTCTGAGTTATACAACAAATAATCGAAAAAATAATTATTTTTAATATTTTTCCATCATTTCGACGGGGGACCAATGAGTTTCGAATCAGGAAATATAGTTCTCATCCTTTTCCTGATCACTTTGAGAAGGAAAACTCTGTGCACACTATAGAGCCTTTCTGAGCTATACAACAAATATTCGCAAAAATAATGATTTTTAATATTTTCTTGTCATAATGAGTTCAGAGTCACGCAGTATATCTCATTTTTTATATCCGATCGATATGTATTTCAATTCGATATAATATGGTTAAAAATATTACAAGAGTTCTCGTGTATACGATCGCCTATTGGATTAAAATGGCTGCTATCATTCCTTCGTGCATCTTCTTTCTTTGGGCGCACGGTACATAATCGAGCATCTCTGGCGAAGTGGCTGCCAACTGCGGCTGCTGTTTTCACACGAATCGTGAAAGTCATGTTTTTGACGAGTGTTCATTTTGTGAATTTCCTCATTGATTATGAATTTTTGTTCATTTTATAAAATATAAACTGACATTTCGAATATGTTCATTGATAATAGTGTCAGAATTTTTAAATCTTCGAATACGTTTCTACAGGAAATATTTATATATAATATATAACTCCTAAGGGATGCATTTCTGGGCTTATGTTCATGTGAACTTTTTTTACTATTTCTGTTCCTAGAATCCGTGGTTGAAATCTTTGTATGTACTGTCGGAACACCCTGTATAGGTACTTGAAATAATGGGGATCAACTAAACACTCGTCGAATCCACGTTCACATATCGGATATTCATATCTAATTTTCGTAATCCAGTATGGATTTACAGGAAATCAATTAATTAGAATTGTGATACTGATAATTTAATACCTTCCATTGTTCTGAAATCCATGTTCGTTGTTACCTAATGTGTCATACTATACAGGTATATGTAAACAATGCATGATTCATTTTCATCATAATTTCGTTTTCACCAGAAACCCTGGATTAGCATTAAATGAACTTGGAATGAGTGATACTAGGATTGCTCCTACATACCAAATTTTATTCACCACTTTCACCAGATAATATCGAAATTCGGACCGATTTAGATGAAATTTGGTACAGATATATAAACATATATCCTATACAGTCTGTCCAAGATAAGATTGCATAGCATGGGGATCTCGGAAACGGTAGGAGATACGAAGTCGGGAAAAAGTTGCGCATTCGGAGGCTCATACAAACAGCTTCCAGAAATTTTCAAAATTGTTTTTAGTTTTTCAGCTACATCGAAAAAAGTGAATTTTTGAAATATCAATTTTATTTTTATTCTCCGTTATTATTAGAGATACAGAAAACCTGAAAATACTTTTTCTTAGCAACTTTTGATTACGTTCAACGTGGTGTTACCGATATTCTCATGCTACGTTCCGTATTCGTAGAACCATCATCAACTTTTGTTTTCTAAATACGGCCTCATAATTTTTCCACAGATTCTGAAAGCTTTTTTTTATTCTTAATTCAATTATGTATTATACAAGGTGATTTGAATGGGTTTCGCTCTATTTCTATCCATCATCAATGTTTTTTCGAAATTCCAAAAGAAAAATGCCATTATTTCTACTAATTTCAAACATTGATGGATTGGTCGTTATTCAATACTCAAAGGTGGATAAAAAATATTTCACTAAATTATTCAATGCAGCGCTTCAATTTGTTAAGAATTCTAACACGAATTACTTTAATAACTTAACTTTGACAATACCAACAGAAACATTCATAACAAATTATCACAATGTTAACCACTATTTTCTAAACCAAGATATCCTCTTCTCACAGTTGCCTCTAAGACATTACTATAAGCATTTCAGGGGTTATACTATTGAACGCTTCGATGACACTGTCCCATATTTCTTCTTCATTATTGAAGTTATTTGCATAAACGAAGTTTATGATATATCCCCAAAGAAAAAAATCCAGTGGTGTCAAATCAGGCGACCGCGCCGGCCGGACTGTAGAATGAGTACCAATCCATTTTCGGAGCGCCATCTTATTGAAACCAACAGTTCTCAACTTCCGCAATCGGTAAATTTTCCAGAGCTTTCTCAAGATGATTCTCAAGCAAATTTCTATAACGTTCGGTGTCAATGTTTCATGGTAATTGAAAGGACCAATATTTCGTATACCAAATACTGCAATCCACATATCAAATCCGAAACGGTGTTGGTGTCTTGCTGTTTTGTATTATTGTTCACTTTTCTCGTGACCAATAATGTGTATTTTTTCTCTTGAAGATACCATTATTAGTAACCATGCTTTCATCAGTCCAGATGATTTTTCGAGGAAAATCTTCGAAATTTTTACATTTTCTGGTATACCACTAACAGAATGTCCTGTGCCTTTCGTCATCGTCTGGTCTTAGCGCTTGACATATTCTGAATATGTATGGATGCATGGAATTCTTGTTTCCGCAAAATGAAATGGGTTGTTGATTGGAACCAGTTGATGAGGTATTAGTGTGTTGGCTAATTTTCTTCCAAAATAAGTGGAACTGATGGCATTCTTCTTGGAATTTCGAAAAAACATTGATGATGGCTAAAGAATAGGTCGAAACACATATACAAACCACCTTGTATAATACATGGTTGAATTCAAAATGGAAGAAGGTTTCAGAATCTGTGAAAAAATTATCAGGACTGTATTTAAAGAACAAGAGTTGATGATGGTTCTACGAATAAGAAACGTCGCATGAAAAAATCGGTATCACCACGTTAAACAATATCAGAAGTTGCTATGCAAAAGTATTTTCAGTTTTCATATATCCCTAATAATAACGGAAAAAAATGATGAAATTGATATTCGAAAATTTAGTTTTTTCGATATAACTGAAAAACTAAAAACAATTTTGAAAATTTTCGAAAACTGTTGGAATGAGCCTCCAAATGCGCAACTTTTTCCCCATTTAACCACCTTCGTATCTCTTACCGTTTGCGAGATCCCCATGCTGTGCAACTCTATCTTGGACAGACTGTATATATACAAGGTGTTTATGAAATAAGTGCACATATTCAGTGCATTGATATGATACAGTCTAAGGAATATTCCCATCATATCAGATTTTTTCTAATTCTCTCAATTGAAGAGAAATTTCATCCTAAAAATTGAACAAAATACGAGAAAAAAATCGAGTACGCCACTTAAAAACAATTTGAATGATTGAAATTTGAATATTTGAACAGAGGTGACGTCAGATTTGCTACAGTGTAGAACTTTGGATGGAATAAGGGGTCTAATAACTTCAAATTTAATTTTGATTCCTAATTTTTTTTTATTAGTGCCATTCGATAAAACACGTCGAGCTCTCTCAGTGTTTGGAATATTTGCACTTATTTCAATGCCACCCTGTATATATTTCGAATTGACATACTTTGCCTTGATGAAATATCGCAAATGAGCGAATACCCTGTATGTATTGATCTTTTAGAATTGAATTTTTGCAATAACATCGATGGATGGATGGAATATGGATACATAAATATTTGGAATCTAGGGGTTTTTGGGTACATGAAAAATCATAATTTGGTGTACCTACTTCAATGTTATTCTTAGATTTCGTCACACGAGCCTTTTTCATGACGTAAAACGTGAATGGGCACTTATTCTGTTTCTTGTTTTGGTTAGCGCCATCAAACAATGAATGCAATGAAAACAAAATTTCTTTGCCCCCACTTTCATGGTTGAAAATTGGTTCACGAAAAATAAAAAAGCTTCCAAAATGGAAATATCTAGGTTCCACTGAGAATAAATTTATGCAAAAACTTTTTTTTTCTAATCATCAACTTTGCATTTATGTATGTAGGTATGTACCTATATACATCAGGGTGTAATTTAATTGATGGCTTAAAATAGAGAACATGGTTCCTAAGCTCATTTTGAGAAGAAAAGTTCATATAAACATATGCCCTAAACCTCAAATTTATAGTGATTTTATTCTTCATTTTTCTCACTCTGTAGACAGATGATCTAATTCTGACTACCTTCATGCCTGGAATCATTGAAATTCATATAAGAATTATTACACACGGTGACTTGAAAAATTCACTTATTCAAGAATAATTGTACCGTTGATAATAAACACCCCTTATGAGATATGGTTTTGAAAATTGATATGGAAGTATTTGTGGCTAGTCCGAATCGATTGCCATTATCAATATTTTTGTAAGAAAGTGCCTAATCCGTTTTCTTTGATTTTGGTGGAGTTTTTGTGATTGCAGTATAGGCTAAGAAATTGTGATAGATAATTTTCTTTTGCTCGACAGAGTTGATTATGTCAAGTAGTATATTATGCGAATAAAAATCTTGAATCGTCCTAGGAATACTAAAGTACATGGGTCCGTTGGAGCAAGTTATAACACACTGTATATCCAGTTTCATTTCTTCGGAGTGAAGTGGGAAAAAGTGGGGGCGCACGATTCCTTGTTTTCCAATATTGCGGGGTTGATTTTTTTCTTCTTCTCTCTTCTTGAGTATTGGTATTGTGCTCACTAGAGAATGCTGAAGCTGCGGGCTCGTTTTGACTCACAAAATATGACAAATATTTTAGGTGTTCACGTCAACTGTGAGCAGTTTAAAAAAAATGAACTGTGTCTTTATTTATTTAAAAATATCATAATTCCCATAATATTAGCCAATGAGAGCATTCATCGTTCAAATAAATAAGAAATATCAATTTTTTGAACATATCCAGTAGATTCTTGAACTGATGTAAAATGTGGGGACAGGAAAATTGTAAAAATGAATGAGCTTTTCCAGAAAAACACTTACAGATAATCCCAGGTATCTCAATCTAGAACCGTCTTTTGTGAAAATCATTTTTGGATTTCGGACCACTAAAAGTAAAGGTGGAAAATTGCAAAAATGCGAAAAACAAAAAATAGCAGAAGGTTCGTTCTACATTGAAAAATGTTAAGGTTTTTCTAGAATTGCGTTTATACAACAGAACAAGAATTGATATATATCATTTTATTTTTATTCGGAAAACATTTCGCACATGTACAATAATTTATAATACTCTCAAAATAATAGTGCTGACACCGTCCAATGTTCTCTGAAGAAGTCTGAACATATTCACACTGATTTTTTCAATCAGCTTCGGCACACACTAGGATCATTGACACAATACAGATATTCTGGATGGAAATACATTGCATCCACTCTACAATCCATGATCATTGGTATTCCCTTGTAGCATCCCACGAATTTAGTGCAATCGCTGGGGTGGGGGTGAAGTCTAGTACTTGATAAGTTGTTGGAGCAAATTGATTCTGGTGTTTCTGTCACTGGAACTGGTACTGGAGGAATTGTAGGGGCTGTGGTAGGGGCTGCGGTAGGGGCTGCGGTAGGGGCTGCGGTAGGGGCTGCGGTAGGGGCTGCGGTAGGGGCTGCGGTAGGGGCTGCGGTAGGGGCTGTGGTAGGTGCTGCGGTAGGGGCTGCGGTAGGGGCTGCGGTAGAGGCTGCGGTAGGTGCTGCGGTAGGGGCTGCGGTAGAGGCTGCGGTAGGTGCTACGGTAGGGGCTGCGGTAGGTGCTGCGGTAGGTGCTGCGGTAGGGGCTGCGGTAGGGGCTGTGGTAGGGGCTGCGGTAGAGGCTGTGGTAGAGGCTACGGTTGGAGCTGCGGTAGGGGCTGCGGTTGAGGCAGCGGTTGGAGCTGCGGTAGGGGCTGTGGTTGAGGCAGCGGTAGAGGCTTCAGTAGGAACTGCGGTAGGGGCTGCAGTGGAAGGCAGAGGTCTCTGCAAAGGAAACAATAGTTTGTAGTATAATTTTAGGACTGTTTGTCACATTCTGCCAGTGAGTATTACATAACCTCTTGATTTCATCATCCTGATCAAACACATAAACATATGCACCCAGATGACAGGAGTGTGTCAATGAATAATAATTCTCGTTTTTGGAATTTTGACTCATTGATCAACTAAAAGTAGGTCTTGATAATTTTAATCTTTTATGCACTTCACGGATTCGAAGGGTACTATAAATCCCTATTTTCGAAAAATGAAAAGAGGTACTTTGAATCCCTAGGGATTTAAAGTACCACTTTTTTCCCCGAAATCTGGATCACCATAGTTACTGAGGTCGTTGATATGGTAGATACAAAACAGCCCTTTCGATGATGTTCTAGAAATAGAGTGCTTACCGTATAGTGGCATTCAATTTTTTTCCTTATTTTTATTTTCACCTATCCTAAGTGCATAAAATAGTAGATACACCTCAGGACTAAAGTGGTTTCTAATCTCTCCACAAAATATAGCCCTCCCGTTGGTCGGGCTATAAACTTTTTGTTTCGGGATTTAAATTACCGCACTTCAGACCCGCGGTGTATAATGTACTATTAGATCATTTCATTGATAATTCGGAACTTCATTTTTGGACCTCATATGTAGAAAAGGATATATCTGGAATTTTTTTATAGCAAAATCACCAGTTCATCTGCTCCCACTTAGAACAATATGAGTGGTTTCTACGATTTAATCATTGATTCAGTTGAATTCATAAATTCATCATTATGAAGAGAAACTGAAACAAAAATATTCCATAGTGGTCACAAGCAACTGATTAGAATATAAGATTCAGATCCAGATCCAAATGGAGTGCTAATTGGTGAAGAATCATCTCAAATGTTCTGTACAATATAACTAGGTATATCCATCATAATATTTATACATATAATAATCTTACTTTTGTTTCAGGTGCTTCAGTTTCTGTACTGCTGACCCTTGTTGTTTGTGCTTCCGAAGTTGTAGTATTAGATATCACAGTTTCATTAACTATCACTGTTGTAGAGATATTTGGCACTTCTGTAACGGCGTGAGTGACGTTATCAATTATTGGTTTTTCTGTTTCAACAGTCGGTTCTTCTGTGGTGGTTCTAGAAGGCTCCGTTGGAGTTTCAGACGACACAGTTTTTGCTTCTGTTATCGCTTCTGGTTCTTCAGGCAATTTGGTTGATTCACCTTCCGACTCTCCAGTTGATGTGTCTTCGTTTCCTGATCCTTCTTCTTCTGCTTCATGAGTTACCTCTTCATGTTCTTCAGGTAATTCAGTTGAATCTTCAGTCACCTCTTCTACCTCTTCTGGTGCTCCGGTTATTTCTTCTGGTTGTGCAGTTGCGGCGTTCGATTCTTCAGTTCCTTCTTCCGACGGTGCTTTGGTTATTTCTGTCGATTGGTTAGCTGATTCGTTTTCTTTTGTTTGTGCAGGACTTTCACTAGTTGTTGAGACTATATTTGGGACAGTGGTCGTATGTGTAGCACATCCTGCTTGTTCTGGTCTGGTACAAACGTGTATTTGAGGGCTGAAGTGGGTTCCTGGTGCGCAATCCATCACTTGTGGACCCCAAGGAGCGCAAATTTGGAATTTCGAGCAATCTGTGGGATGAGGGAATGGTAGAGTTTCCGTGCATTTCGGAGTGGTTGATGGTGATGAAGTTGTTGGGGATGTAGCACATCCAGAATTCGAAGCATGGACACAAACGTGTATTTGAGGGCTGAAGTGGGTTCCTGGTGCACAGTCCATTACCTGTGCACCCCATGGGGCGCAAACTTGAAATTTCGCGCAGTCAGTGGGGTGGGGGAACGGAAGGGTTTCTGTACATAGCTGCGACCTTTCGAGCGCTGGAAACAAACAGATCATTATGTAGTTATGAAATGTTGTATAAAAAAAGCTTCTCGTGGAATTTGAGCTAGTTAGATTTGCTCAGATACGAACACTCTTGAGTAAATCTACAGTGTGACCCACTTCTATTGGAAACACCCCTGTATCTTACGTAATCGTTGGGTAGGGATCCTGAAATATACCAGAAATGCACTTTATGACCAAGTGGGGTCATCTTCAGTAATATACACTGCTCGCCAACAGCCATATATGGAACCATACCCCAATTTCCGGAAAATGATATTAGGAGTCAAAATAAGTAACTATTCATAGTTTCCAGAAAAATTAAATTTTGTCTCACTTCTCATGGAAGCACCCCCGTATCTCACGTAATTATTGAGATATAGGGTTCTGAAATTTGCAGGAGGAACGTAAAGTCCAAAGAAAAAGTCAATTACGTAAGATATACGGGGGGTGCTTCCGTAAAAAATGCGACAAAATTTAATTTTTCAGAACTGAAAATTTTCCAAGAAAAATATGAATAGTTAGTAAATTGGGCTTCCTGATTCCGAATCTCAAGTGATTTTCGACCTATTTTGACTCCTAATATCATTTTCCGGAAATTGAGGGGGTTCCATATGGCTGGTGGCCAGCAGAGTATATCACTGAAGATGACCCCACTTGGTCATAGAGTACATTTTTGGTATATCTCCAGCTCCAGCAAATTTCAGGATCCTTACCCAACGATTACGTGAGATACAGAGGTCTTTCCATTAGAAGTGGGTCACACTGTAGAGTAGATGATAATAAATATTTCCATCGCCAAGGGCGTCTATTTGAAAAATGAATATGAGGAAAGATATAAAAAACTGTTCGATATGCCGACAAGCCCCTAATGATACATGCAACATATACCTATTGACAATAATATAGTGTCAATATGAAATATCCAATCACACTATATACTTATACTGTCAAAGGATATCACATATATTTATAACTATAGTGTTCATATCACCATCATATTGACATTTGAAATGTAAGTAAACAAGACTTCGCTATAATTGCAACAACATTATTACAACAGAAGTACTTGTATTGTAGAGTCCGACCACGATACTTTGGGACAGCACGTGGTCGCGTGTGCATTGAATTGCATAATATATTATGCGTTGCATCTCGTGTGCTGTGCCAAAGTTAACGCGGTCGGACTCTAGATGTCCATGGTATCTCATGGTTGCAAAACTTTTCATTTTAAACAATTATGTTAACTTACGTTTTGCGCCAATGTTAACGAAGATAGCTAAACACAGATTCAAAAATAAAACTGACATTATGTTGTTTCTATAGCGGGTCATACAATTTTACTAATATCTACTCCGCCAAAATACAAAAGAAAAGTGTAAATTTAATTCAGATGTTGGAAAGTATATCTTATAAAATCAATCCCTACGTGATATAGTGAGAACGGGTAAATAATGATTCATTTTATTAATCCCATATATCAAGATATCGCATGGGATATGGGGAAACATAATTTATCATAATATGATGGATGTCATTTTAATTGATATTATTCTTGACGAAATACGTAAGAATTTTTTGGTGGAAAAATAGTTTTCGATGAAAACAACGTAGTTGGTACATATTTCATATCAAATAGATACGCATATATATTATATAGGCGAGAGTGGGGTCACAACGAGATGCGTGCACTATGCACCATGAGCCGAAAATTTACTAAATTTAAGATTGGAGATGATTCAAATACAAATATATTTTTACCCAATCGTCAGCTGGTAATTATCCCTAATATTTTATACATAACTTAATAGATGTTTATTCACTATTCTCGATTATTTTTGTCTCGATTTCAATGTGGCCCACTTTCCCCTATTTTATGCCAGGTAATACTTGCTGATGAAATATTATCAATAATTTTTTATTCGAACTGTAAATCATATGGAATTATAACGATAAAGATCTTCATCAGACATCTCTAGAATTCCCAACAGCAGGTAAATAAATATTTAATCCTTCCTAGTTACCAACCATATTAAAATATGTTCCAGGAAAGTCAGATGATCCCTATAAAGAGTTTTGATTTAAAGTAACAATAAAATACTGCATACAATATAAACAGTAGATAAGGCATAGGGACATAATTTTTTACGACGGTGTGTTAGCACCACATAGCCAATATCTATTTAATTTTTCATTCTTTAATGCCCAAAATGTTATGATTGAGGATATCAATCCGTATCTATGTTATATTCTTCTGCTAGGGCATACGACTACGATTAATAAGTGCAATAATTGTAATGTATTTTTATTTTCATATTCACAAAAAATTTAGATTTCGTCTCAAAATTCTGAGATTATTTATTGAAATTTCGAGATTTGTTCACGAAGATTTTTCTTCAAAATATTTTTCTCCAGAAAATTTCAAGATTAGGAATTTCAATCTTCTCTGTAATGTAAGGAAAAAAGTTATTCTTCATGAGAAGTTCTGCAAGGCTCAAAATCGTAAATGCAAATAATAGGCTTAAATTTTTTTCAGTCGTACTTATACGAGGTATCTCAAAAAATATTAATTTTGCTCAACAGTAAAAGTACCTTCATTTTCCAAAATATCGAAAATTATTATCAAGAAGAGTTGACAGTAGATATCTGTACCCTGTCATATGCATGAGAGGCAAGAACATCTCCATCTGCTCCGACAGTCAGGCCGCTGTCAAAGCTCTACGAGCACCAAGATTGGTCTCTCGGTTGGTTTTAGATTGCAAACGAAACCTTGCTGGGATAGCAAAGGGAAAACCGTATCGAACTACTTTGGGTTCCGGGACATAATGGGATAGATGGCAACGAAAGAGCCGATGCTTTATAGCAAGGCAAGGTTCTTCAGCCCGTCCTGTGGGCCAAGAGCCCATCGTGAGCATTTCTCTCTGCACAGGACTGCGAAAACTTGAAGAACTTCTGACAGAGAGGTTTTGTCGGGAATAGACTGAATCCAGGGGTATGAGGCAGGCGAAGACCTACATTGATAGGCCTTCGATACATCTCACCCAATCCCTCCTGAATATGCGAAGAAGCCAATGCAAAGTTGTCACTGGCTTACTAACTGGACACTGCCGCCTTAACAGACATCTAAACATTCTGGCCATCTCCGATGACCCAACGTGCCGTTATTTATGTCTCGAAAACGACGAAACTCCCATCCACATCATTATGTGAATGTCCTGCGCTAACACAGCTCACATGGCGGAGTTTCGGACAAACGACTCTAACAGCGGAATAAGCGCCAAATATCCCGGCTACCGACATCCTAGCCTTCGGCAGAGCTGCGGGACTCTTGTGAAGGATGCCATACTCACGGGGCGGAGTCGTTAATCTATGCGGGGCGACACAAATGGACCCACACTAGCGGTCTAGCTGTCTGGACTTCGACAAGTCCACCCGATGCTCACTCAACTCAACCCTGTCATATGTTCAGACTTTTTTGGCACGCTGTATATGGCCGTATAATAGGCTGCGTCCGTGATTATTCCATTCGTGTGTAATAAGCTTCTTACAACACTTTGTTACGTACTTCACTTTATTGGTACAATATGGATACAATATCATTGATACAGAAAAAACTTCGTAAACACTAAGGAAGCATAGAACATTTATACCTAAGCAATGAATGCTTGTGTCGTACTGTTCCATTCTTCCATTTGCGTATCATAATTTGCTATTTCATACAGTGCGAGTTTTTAGGGATAATAATGATAATAATAAATAAAAATAAAATAATAATGAGATACTGATGATAACATCAATAATAATAGCAACAAAAATAATAATATTGAGTAATATACTATTGCTGATGTAGTTGTTATACCTATGTAAAGTTTATGCAAAGTCAGTTGGAACAATACATCACCGCGGGCCGTCGGTCTCTTTGAAAGTTCAAAGAGAGCGGCATTGATGATCTGTTTCAACTGACTTCGCATCATATACTATACCTAGGTACTGATTTTAAACACTGTGATTTTTTATGGTAGCTAACCCAAGCCCAAACCCAAACCAAGGAGAAAATATCTATACATATATCGATTTCATAACAAATCTGATCGAGCCTGTATCATACAGACCTTACAGTTTTAGATAAGAAACTGATGATAAAGACCATGAAATTGCGGTTGTTGCTGAAACAATAAAGTATAAAAATCCTGTCTCACTTTTTTCCAAAGTCATGAAAGTGGTTGTGGTCACGTGGCCTAGTGTCAAGATGGCACCATCAACTTTTTTTTCCAAATGGAAAGGGGTGTCATGTGGTACCTGGTTTTGAAGGCCTATCGATTCTCTATCCAATACCGCTTGATTGTTGAAATCGGCTATTGAAAAACCGATTTTTTTCTGTTTAGAAGTGAAAAAACACCATTTGAATACCCTAATAGTAGATCGTTTTATTAGGATCAGATCAGAAGTGACTTTGTTTGACAAGCGAATTTTGCATTTGCGAGGCGGAGCGTTTAGCGATGCAGAGCGGAAGCAAAATTTGCGGGTCAAACAAAGTCACTTTTGATACGAATGAAACATACTATTTTTGGTGCAACCGAAACAATTAACTCAAATGAATATGTGTAGTAAACACCAATGCCGTGCCATATGTATATGCAATGCAACAAATATTGACAAATAATCCGTGTGGTGAGAATATTCTACCTGAATTAACAGCAGGTTTATTCAATTTTCAAGGATGTTCGAATTGTAGTTTCAATATAAATACAACCACAGAGTGACATATGTGTGTATGGACCAGGTGCTCTAAATGGCAAATACCGCGCCAGTGCCAGCTATATAGGAACAAGACGTAGAAAATTTTAGGTTAGTGAGCATTTCAACAATAATAATAGCGATTATCTATTTCTCTCCATACTCCACTGTGTTTGGTTTGATAATCAAATGTAGGTAAACAATATCGTTGTTTGAGACAAAAAACTATTGCTGGCCGTGATTATTCAAAAACAAGTTATCCATCCCGAGAATAACGAATGAAATACAGATCAAGCAATTATGTGAATCTTGAAGGCTTTCCTGATCAAAACAAGAATACTCAACTATACCATTGATTATATACACGAGTGTGAATACTCTCTAAGACTAAACTGAGATGTATTTATATCCCCAGCATGGGTATGAAATACCAAATCTGTCGAAATCGGAAACAAATTAGGTATGCGTCCCGACCCAAATAACCAACCATAACAATGTTGTGTTGTGGAGATGACTTTGGGTTTCTTCATCTATGCCCTATGACATAACAATGTTGTTTATTCTTGATGACCTCTAGTACAGCCTTTTTAGTTCCTAGGAGCTGAAGTTCAACTTTAGCTCCTATATAAACTAAAGTTCAACATTGTTGCCTAGCAACATACCTATTTTTGTGTCAGTAATAGGAACGTTAATTCAAGAGCTGATTTTGGTATTGAAATGAATACGTTGTTTTGTGTCGGTTGCAGAAAAAATTTCATGGAACGTTCGAATATAGTTCGGCGGCGCCAGTATACTGACTGACGTCTCTTCCTGTGTTGCCAGCTGTTTTATTTTAAGGAAATATCAAGTAAATATTTCTCGATTTAGAATCGCTCCTGCTGTGAACTGGTGAGATAATTTGATATTCATTGATGAAGTAAATGTCATGAACAAAGTATGTACCTACTGTACGGTATAGGTTGTTTCCCTTATTTGCAATTTGCTCAATTATTCGTTCACTGATAAAAAGGATTCCTTGGATTGAAGGAATTTGACTTTACCTCAAGGGCGCCAAGCATTTGAATAGGGCGGAATGCATGGACATTTCGACCCAATATCCCAAAAACTTTGAGGCAAGCGCCTAAGTTTCTTTAGCATGAAATTATATAAATTCGAGGCAAGAAACTTTGGCTTTGCCCGAATAACTAATGCTTTTGGCTTAAAATCGTAGTTTTCCCAACTTATGGGGAATGTTGAGGTAATTGCCATGATTTCTTTAGCCCAATGATATATGAGTTTATCGCAAAATACCCTGAACTTATCATAATGAACAATGATTTTTGGTCAAAATCATTGAGATATAATTTCAAAGTTATGAGATTTAAGATGAAAGATATGGTATTATTGTATTGAAATATAGAGCTTCGCTGTAAATATGTAGTGCGATTCGTTTGTTTACTTTATTACGAAAGTATAAAGGTAAATTGACGGGTAGCAATACAGCCTGATCAGCGTGGATATACTTATATTAATATAAATTGTTATTATAATATTGCATGCCAGTATCTAGGACACGATCATGCCACTTCTATTCGAACCATGTAAGAAGCAGTACATTGAATATACGTGTATGTATTCCGGAATAGACCTTTTATTCCTGTACACCATATGACCC